GGGCATTCATTTCCTGTCTCTGAACATTTCAAGGGGCACTTTTTATGTGTGCTCTGTGTTGGAGACCAGCGTTGTCACCTGGAGCAGGTGCTAGGAGATGCCCAGACGGGCGGGGCAGGGCCACCAGGTGTTGCTGGCACCTGACACAGGAGGGCAGTTGGCAGGTCCCTGCTGTGCAGGGAGTAACCGGCTCCTTGGAGGACTGCGGGGGATTGTGAACGCATGCGGACTCCTTCTGAATCCCAGCCTGGGCCTGGGCCTGGGCCCCAAGGTCCCCGTTTCTTTAGGGAAAGGGGTGGGGGGGTGGCCCACTCCCGCACCTGTGCCTAGGTTCCGCCACGGAAGCCAGGCAGAGACCAGGGCGAAGTCCCTGAGCCTCACGAGGGTGTGCCGGGAAGTGGGATGGGGACAGGGCACCGCGTCTCTTCCCTCTGGGTCCTTCGTGGGTCTAGTGGCAGCGACTGACTTACCGCCACCTGCTTCTGCTTCCTCTGAAACGAATGTGTGAATGTCCGCACCGTGTTCACTTTACACCTGGGAGAGACTCAGAAGAAAGTGCACGGCCCCCTCACCTGCTGCCCTCACTCACAGGGCTCAGAGGTGGCTGAGCTTGTCACTGCTGCCCCCTCCTGCCATTCCTGGGGCAGCCTCATCAGTCCTTCGAGATGAGCCCCAGTGGAGTGGGGCTTCCTCCCACGACCCGCAGCGTGCACCGTGTCTCAGCACTTCGCACATCCCGCTCCGGTATCTGTCAGGGGCCTCGGGAATCGGCTGGCTGGGCCGAGCTGCCGTGAGGCCAAGGCTCTTGCCTCTGAGTCTTGCCTCTCAGGTGCCTCGTGTGGCATCGGTGAGCACACTGTGGCCTCAGCCTCATCCAGCAGCAACGCCAGGCCCTTCTCCTTCTTTACTTCTAAGTCAGCTTCACTTCTGTGACCGTTAGTCATTGTTTTTTTAAAACTTTCATTTTTAAACTCTCCAAAAGAGCAAGGGATACGTCTCAGCTCAGGCTGCTGTAACCAAATACCACTGACATTTATTTCTCATCGTCCTGGAGGCGGGAAGTCCAAGACCAAATGCCAGCAGAGCAGGTGTCTGGTGAGGGCTCTTCCCGTGGTTTGCAGATGGCTGCCCTCTGGCTGTGTTCTCACCGGAAGAGAAGGGGAGAGGGGAAGGGGGAGGGGAAAGGGAGGGAGGAGGAGGGGGAGACACCACCCCCGTCATGAGGACCCCTCATGCTCTCATCTCACACCAGTTAATTTCCCAAGGCCCCATCCTCCGGGGTCAGGTTGGCAGGGGATGGGGCAGTTCAGTCCATCCGGGCGACCTGGTGACATTTGCAGTGAGTGCCAAGCTGTGTGGCAGGTGCTAGCAAGTCCTCGTGGTCTGCGTGTCCCTGATGTGGCCCGAGTGGTGGGCGCGTCCTGGGCCAGCGAGGTGCATCTCTAAGGTTCTCTCTCCGGTCCGGTTGGACTGTACCAGGTCCGGAGCCAGGACCCAGCCTGGCATCGTGGCTACGTCTCCCGGCTGACACCAATGCAGGGGTCGCGGGGGTTAAGGAAGGAGGCTGCCAGGGTGGCAGGAGGGTTTTACCGAACGGGCACCACATTTTCTGTCTTTGAGCATTTCCAGGAGGTGGTTCATGTATATCTTTTGGCAAATGTATTCTGTCACCTCCGTTATTGCTCGGCACAACAATAATTGAAGTTGTATCAGAAGGAGATGAAGAAACCCTCCCGGCCTTGGAGCAAGTGTAACTGTGGTGCTTTTATTTAAAGCGCCTTTGAGCTTAAATTCATTTCATTCCTAAAAATAAGCTGCAGAGATGAGATCCGCCCTTTGAGCGAATCAGAACAACTTAGGAAATAAAAATGCCTCGGCCACATGCCCCTCCGGCCCGGCGTGCTGCTTCACTTGGGAACTTGAGTCCACGGGACAAAGGTGACCCCGTCGTTCTGCGAGCTGACAGGCAATGAGCACATTTACTGTAAAATGAAACCGAGAAGCTGAGAAAGTGACAAGGACTAGAATGGAGGCGCGACTGACCCCACACCAGGCGTCTCTGGATGAGTTTGGGGGAAGTAGGATAGTCTCAAGTTCCCCGTTTGTCTTCTGCAATTGAGTGCTTTAAGGACGTCTACATTGTTGGGCTTTTTATGCTACTTGGCGAGTATGTGTCAAATGTACAGCCTCTTTATCTAAAGAAAATAGGAAAACAGACGAGCTAAACCCACCGAGCCAGGTCTTGTGGGCTGAGCTGCACCCCCGAGAGCGTGAAAGGACACGCCTCCCAGAGGTCCCGGGCGCACGGCTCCCCAAGCAGGACAGCCCCAGGCCTCCCAGCCAGGGGGGAGTGAGCACCTTCTGCAGGACTGTCCATGGGAGCAGAACGCGCCAACGCCCACCGGTTTCTGAAGGTGCAGCCAGGGGACCAGTGTCAGAGGGTGTGAGAGAGACAGGCCTTCTCAGGACGCAGCTGGTGTTCACGAGCTCAGAGCGCTGGTACCTGCACTCTGCTCCCCGCGCTCTCTTCCTTCGTGGGGTGCAGACGAAGGGGGATGCCTCCTGTGCCAGCCGAGGCCTGGACGTCTCCGTCCTCGCTGCGCAGCTCTTTCCACCCACAGGGGTGGCTGGTCACAGACGCCATCAGGGCGGAGTCGCCGGGTTCTCAGGTCTAGGCCCCAGGCACCCCTGACACACGAAAAGGAATTTTAAACAAACAGCACACTGACCTTCGGGCCGTGCACCCAGCGCTGATGGTCAGAGCAGCCCCATAAGTGTGCCAGGTGCTTGCCTGGTGCCAGTCTCCCCTGGGGCCCCCGGGCACACAGAGACGCCGCGTGCAGTCCCTGCCGGAGACACGGTCAGTGGCTTGGCCTGTGCCGGGCAAGTAGGTGTGGGAGCCCCAGAGGGGCCTCGTCCACTCGATGTGTGGGCAGGCCCGGCGCAGGGAAGGCCTTCTGGACGTGGATTTCAAAGGGTGAGTAGGAACGTGTCGGGTGAAGTCTCCCAGGCAGAGAGGACTTCGAGCACAGGTGAGAGGATGGATGAAATCGAGTTTGAAACCGGAGCCGGGGGTTATGCCAGCACTTCCCGTGGAGGGCACCCTGCAGGCAGCACTTGTTAAAGAAATTCACAACAAATAGCAGCAAATCATAACAGCCAGCCTGAATCTCGGATTCGCCTCCAAATACGTGACTTATCTGGCAGGTTCCACTAACAGCCGCTGCCCTTTATTTTCTTTAAAAAAAACACAAAAATTTATCTTTGGATTGGAATGAACGTTTCAAAAACAAACGCGGCCTGCCTGCAATGCCAGCCCCGTGTGAATAACACCAGGTGGTGCCATCCTTCCACGCAGCCAGGAAGTTCAAAGCCGGTGCAGACGCAGGGGCCGCGTTCCCGCGGTTGGCGTCCCTCCGCGTGGCGGGCCCTGCTGTTTGTTATTCGGCTCTGCGTGTGCGACGGAGACGTTCCTCAGACCACAGAGCTTGCTTTCTTTGCAGACAGATGTGTCCTTTAGATGCTCTTGGTGAGCAAGCACGATGGGTAGCAATGGCTGCGGCTTCCGTGTGTCTTCAGTGTCCAGTTCCAGGAGCAACGTGAAGTCTTTCGTGAACAGATTGTGGCCACTTGAAAGCTCAGGACCAAGCCCTGCTCTCACGGACCTCCATCTCCAGAACGTCTCATCTTCAAACCGAAACTCTGCCCCGTTAGAAACGACCGGTCCTCAGCCCGTCCCCTCCCTGCCCGTCTCTGTGACTCCCCGTACCTCCCGCGGGTGGGGTCACACGGCGTCTGAGCACAGGGCCCCCCGGCCTCCCTCCCGCTGTCGCATGTTGCAGAGCCTCCTTCCTTCTCGGGCCGAGGAATACTCCGTGTGTGTCGTCACATGTCGCTTGTCCCTCGTCCTTCAGTGGGTCGTTGGGGCGCTTCCCAGCGGTGGCTGCTGTGGGTGCTGCTGTGAACATAGGTGAGCAGATGCCTGTTTGCGTCCCTGCTGTCAGTGATTCTTCCCCTTGTGCCTCCGCCCCCGCAAAAAAAAACCCCACAAAAAAGCTGCAGGGCGCTTGGTAGACCCTTGTTGAGTTTCTGGCTGAGAGAAGGCAGACCTGGGAGTCGGGCGTTGGTGCCTCTGCTCGCTGCCTGAGGTGACCAGGCCTGGAGCAGACCCCACACCCTCTCTGCTCGCAGTCTCCCCGTCTGCGCTGAGGGCGTCCCTCCCCGTTCGGGCTCCACCCTTAGGTGACTGCGTGAGACGTTCTGCACAGCCCTGCAGTCGCTGGCCTCGCCCGGCTCCTGTTCTTTGGTGGAACTGGAAGGGGCGGGCCCTTGGCATGAGCAGATCTGTCATTCTCACCTCTGAGTGCCCTGAGCGCCCTGACAGCCAGGCACATAGAAACCTGCCACTCGGCCTGAATTAACCTCCCACGGAGGCGGAGCCGCGAGTCTAAGTCACCGAGTGGAGTGGTGCTCCCGGCCGACCAGCTGCCCTCCGCCAGGAGCTGGCTGCTCTCATCCTTACGTGGTGGCTTTTATGAAGGGTTAGAACTTTGGTGAGTGTGTGTGGGGGGTGCGGGGGAGAGAGGGAGAGAGGGAGGGGGGAGAGGGAGAGAAGGGGGAAGAGAGAGGGAGAGGGAGGGAGAGAGCCTCCATCGAGAGCTGCTGCTGGGGCTGGTGATGGAGATAAAGGGGAGGAGCCTGAGAAGCTGCTGTGCCTACTGAACGGACTGCACAGTAGCCCATGTGACTCCTCAGTGCAGGCGCGTTCGCTCTACGTTCTCTGCAGAACAAGACAAGCCTGTCTGCGAAGCGCCAGCGAGTCAGCCGCAGAACGTGCTCCGGGAGATGAGATGTGGAGCCGCCTGAGAGCGGCCGGGAGAAGGCGGCCATGACGCCTCCCAGGGAGCAGAGACGGCAGAGGCCCCAGTGTGGCTACTGAGCCGCCTTACGCTCACGTAGGGCTGGTGTGACCATGGAAGGTGTGTTTTTCTTGGCAAAAGGTGCAGTTCATCGGTACAAGCAGCCGGCCGTCTACCTCGGAGCAGGCGAGGTTTTTCCAAAGGGAAAGGAACTCACAGGGAAACAGGCGAGTCTCAGGCTGCGACCTGCAGGCGCGAGGAGGCGTCCGCTCCTGGCTTATTCTCTGACTTCCTCTTGAGATGGCAAACGGGCCACAGTGACTCAGTAAACGCACTTTCCTCCTGACCATGGGCTGCGGCCCCAAGAGGCCTCGCTGACAGCGTACGTCCCTCCGTGAGAGGGCGCCCAGCACAGCCTCCTGCTGCTGCTTTTTTTTTAAATGCTTTTATTGATTTCAGAGAGGAAGACAAAGGGAGAGAGAAACACCAATGATGAGGGAATCGATTCGCTGCCTCCTGCACCCCTCACACTGGGGATCAAGCCCGCAACCTGGGCCTGTGCCCTGACCGGGAATCGAACCCTGACCTGGCTCATAGGTGGATGCCTGACCACTGAGCCAGCGGGCATGCAGCCTGCTTCTTTCTTGTTCTTGCAAGAAAGTCAGCCCTGAGGGTGACTTCCCCTGGACGCTGTTGGGCAGGTTCTGGGGGAACATCTTTTCCTGAGCGGACGTTCTCCGTGTTGACAGATAGGGCCTTGGGCTCACATACAGGCACTGCAGGGTCCTGTTACCGACGTTCCTCAGAGACTTTTCTGTAATTTCTAGCTCAGATGTGGGAGTGCCCCCCTCCCACCGGCTTCTGTGTTTGCAAATAATTAATGATCTAATTGCCTGGTTTCCTCCAACGGGTGACATGAGCCCAGAGACAGAGGTGCCACTAGGCAGGGAGGCTGGGGCTGCAGCAAAGGCAGGACACAGACATGTTGTCGGGAGGACCTGGGACGGTCGTGGCCCCGCTGACCTGGGTTCAGCCGGAGAAGATGGAAACGAGTGCTCTGCTCTGCCCCCCGGGGGAGGGGGGTGGGGGGTGAGCGCCTGAGGGGGGCTGCCCTGCCGCCTCTTGAGCAGTTTGGGAATGAAATGCTTCTTTGCAGACGCCCACCTCCAACACAGACAGGTTTTAGCTTTTCCCACCCAGTGCTTTCCTCAGAGGCAACACCGACTACAGGCAGTGGGCGTGGGGAGGCGGGAGGGGAAGGACCCTGCCCAGCAGGCGCTCGGCTTGTGAAGGGCTCAGAGAAGGTTCTGGAGTCCTGTGCTGACGGCCTCTGTTGGGCTTCTCTTTGCAGGTGGCCACAGCTGGCTTGTCAGTGCTGCTGTTCGAGGGCGTCCTGACCAGAGCGGCCGTGGGATGGTGAGTCTGAAAGTGGATGTGGGTTCGCCAGGTGCTGCCTCTGCTCCCAGTGCCACGGGAAGGGCGAGGTGTGGGCTCGGGCGTGCAGCAGGCCTTTTCTGGGTGAACAGAAAAGCCAGGTCATCTGTGATGTGCAGTGAATCTAAACGAAATGGGTTCAGAGGTCGTCACCTTAGCAATTCTGCGATAGGGTCACCTCGAGACTCCATGGCATCAGCCCCTTTAGCAGACGGCCCGGCAGCTCCGTGGGGAGCCCTCCCGCGGTATTTCCTCCAGAGCGTGACCCAGGCGCAGTCTCACACACACACACCACCCGTCAGGCGAGTGGACACAGCCCCTCTTCCACCTTGCAAACTGGCCCCCCAACCTCAGCTCAGGGGGACTTGGCATGATTGGCGGCTCCTGGGCCTGACCTGGAAGTGGGGTGAGGGGAGCCCCCACGGCAGAACCAGGGGCGTCGCTCACCCGAGAACATGGCGCCCGGCAGCCTCCTGACCTCTCGACTCTTTTGCAGCCTCCTGCTCGGCGGCCTGGGAGAGGCCTTGCTGGTTTTCTCAGAGAGGAGGGGCGCCCCGAGATGACGAGGTGACGATGGAAAGGGAGACGGGCCGGGCCGTCATGGGAGCAGACGCCCGGCTGCGGAGCTCGGACGAGGGTGAGGAAGCCGAGCTTCCCCTGCGCCAGGAGCTCTCGGGTCTCTGCTGCAGAGAATGGACTGGTGCCTCTTCCCTGAGAGACTCACCTGAGCCCCACCTCTGGGTGTGCGGACGCCTGCGGACGCCCCGTGGACGCCCCGTGGAGGCGCCGCTCACCTGCCTGGCATGCGGCCTCTGCTGGAGCCGGCACAGGCGCTGCTCTCCCTGCTCACGCTCCGTGGGGGCCGCCCCGGCATTTGGGGTTTGGTTTGTGTGTTTACATCTTCGGAGCCTCCGGGACATCCCTTCCTCGCGCTCGTGCGGGCTGGTCCGAGCCTCACCCACCCACTCACGGGGATCCCTCCCGAGGGCGTCCATGGGTGAGCGGGGGCTCAGGCATGAGAAGCCAGCAGGGGCCATCGCCCCAGAGCGGGTGCCGAAGCCCTGACGTGCGCGTGTTCCTTCTGTTGGGTTGTGTCATAGTAAGTTCACACTTTTTTTTCGCTCACCGTTCAGTTAACCTGACACGAAACGATCACCACAGCAAAGAGGTGGATAAGCCGAGGGTGTCCTCCCGGGCAAGGGGAAAAGAAACAGACGTCTAACATGGACACACACGCCTGTTATAGTCACTTCCTAAAGCTCTGAATCCATTCATTCCCCATATCTGAGGAGGTTTCAGTCTTTGAACACAAGTATACTTTTCAGGCCAATTAAAGGTTGGATTAAAGCTTTAAACTGTGCCTCAATGGGACTCAAAAGAAATGAATTTACATGAAACGGTTGTTTGATTCCGAGCCCACAGTGAAGATTTAGGGAAATAGTGCCGAATCCACGTCTCTGCTCAGAGGAGGTGTGTGAGTCCTCACCTCTGCCGGTGTCGGCCTGGGGCCCTCGGAGATGCAGGAGGGCAGGACCCGCCCCCCCAGGTCACCATGGGAGCCCCCCCAGGTCACCATGGGAGCCCCAGCCCCGGGAAGGCTCCTGCCCACCCTCCACCTGGGAGGAACAAGGTGAAGTTTGAGTGCCTGTCCTTGCTGGTCTCTGCTGGCCGTCCAGGTGGCGAGCCTCAGGTGACCTTTGCCCTCAGGTAGTCAGTTTCCTCTTCACCAGGATGCCGGCCGTCTGCAGACGGAGGATCAGATGGAAACCTGGGTTCAGAGTCTCCTTGTTCTTTTGCTCCACGAGACTGTAACCGAGGCCACTTCTCTGCTGTTCGTGGAAAGAGGCGTCTGTCCAAGGGTCGCCGTGTGTCTCCCGTGGCGTCTGCGGAGAATGAGGAGGCGCCTGGGGCTGAAAGGACCCCATCCCAGCAGGACGGACCCCACGCACTTGGGCGGCAAAGCTGTAGACCTTTTTATAAAAGAGTCTCCAGCAAGGGTTTCTGTTGTTGTTGTTTGATCTTTAACCTCATGTTCCAGAGTCCTGTTGTTTTAAAAAATCTGATTTCTTGCTTTGACGTCAGCCAGAGGCGGCCTGCAGGGTGGGCCCGGGGTCTGTAAACCAGGGGCCCCCTCCAGGCACCCAGGCCCCCTCACCCGAAGGACCCGTGTGCTCACTCCTCTGGATCCTGGTCCCTGAGGCCTCGGTGGCTGCGAGTCGGAGGGTTTTGTTTGTACAAAGAATATGCTTTGTGTCGAGAGGCATGTTACTGACCTGCTGCGGCCGTGAGGAGCTAAACCTGGCGTTTGCCTGTATTTGTGGGTGGTTGGCTTCTCTCCTCGGCAGCCCAGCAGGCGTCACCCTGGGAGGGAGCCCTCCCTCTTTCGTGAGTCCTCACCCGAGGGCACCTTTCCATGGATTCTCAGACGGAGGAAGAGAGGGTGGAAGGAGCTGCCCCTGCCCAGCCCAGCCCCTCCTGGCAGCGAGGGTGGACCCCAGAGGAGCACGCAGCCCCTTAGCCCCCCGTGGCTGCGTGAGAGGCCCACGGGGCTGGCCAGGGCACGGCCACTGCTGTCCGTCTTCACCCCGGCACGGCCTGCACCTCGGGGTGCGCGGGCCCTGGAAACAGGGACTTAGTCCAGAGTCGTTCCTGGGCCAGCGATTCACACAAGTAGGAGGCGGGGGGGCTGCTTAGTAACAGGGCACCAAGTCAGAGCTGGAGAGCTGGGACCCCAGGGGCTGTCCCAGGCTGTCCCGCACTCTGGCTAGTGGCGTCCATCACTCCTTCATTGGTCACCATCCTGCCTCTGGCACCACTCACCGCGTGTCCACAGCTTCGGCTTCTGCGTTGTCTCCAGCAGAGCGGCCGCCATCCTGCGGGAGCTGAGTGGCCGGTCCTCAGGTTGGTGAGCTGCAGGCAGACCGCCCAGCGGGAGGTGCTGGACGTTCATGCGATCGCAGACCTAAAGCAACAGGCATCCTGCTCCCAGGGAGGCCTGGGCCTGCAAGAAGACCCAGGGATCGAAATTAAAAATCACACCAACCAACCGCTCTATTGAGATACAACTCGTGTGCCTGAAAGTGCACCCAGTCCACGCAGACAGTCCGGTGGTTCTTAGTGCCTTCACGGCGTTCTGCAGCCGTCACCACCGCCTCCTTCAGCGCATTTCATCCTCCTCCGCCCCTCCGCTGACCGGGCAGTGTGCGGTCCACTCTACAGACCCCCGGGCTCCACAGGAACGGGATCTTGCCCACGTGGCCTTGTGTTGGACTCGGGTTTAAACCCTCACTTGCCAGCTCCGTGGTGAAGATGGGCCTTTTTAGAGCCGACACAGGGAAGCGCCCAGCGTTGGCACCACGCCTCCCTCACACGTGGGACACCCGGCAATGGCGCCACGATGGCATTTTCCAGCAAATCCTTGTTTCCGTCTCAGCGTGAGGCTCCACTTCCTTCTGACAAGCAGACTGCTTTTTCCTAAGACGAAGTCTCTGACGGACACACATTGTACCCAAGAGCTTCTCATCGTGCCTGGCCGTGTGGCTCAATGGCTGAGCATCGGCCTGCGGACTGAAGGGTCATGGGTTCGATTCCGGTCAAGGGCACGGACCTCAGTTGCAGGTTCCCCGCTCTGGTCAGGAGACAACCAAATCGATGTGTCTCTCACATCGACGTTTCTCTCATCTTTCCTCCTCCCTTCCACTCTCTAAAAATCAATGGGAAAATATCCTCGGGTGAAGACGATCAATAATGCCCAGGAGCCGCGTCCCTCCCAGCCTCCCACCCATGCCCTGCAGCCGGGGTGGGGTCTGCCCAGCTGGTGCCAGGCTGCTGGGTGGGGCCTGGAACCTGCCTGCAAGCGGCTCAGAGGCCAGTGCAACCCCCGCGGCACTGGGGGCAGGGGCCAGAGGCCCTTCCCGTGGACA